AAGAGCATTAAGTGGCACGGGAGAGGTGAGGACCGTGGTTTGGAGATGAGGATGCTTTGCCTTAGAGACTGCAGTGGCCTGAGTTGTGGGTGGGAGCGGGGAGGTCGGACGGTCCTTTCCAAGCTCTATGTGCCTAAATACCAGCACTCCCCTGGTGAGGGGGGAACTATAGGCGGCTACAACACTAATAGCACCCGCATTGTGAGGGGGTGTGAAGTGTGGCTAAGCAGGGCACGAGGGCCTGGTTCCTTTGTCTTCTGGCCCTGTAGCAGCGTCAAACTGCATCTGATTTCACTGCCCTCTGCTTCCAAGAGGAGCAGGGAGCCCCAGGCGGTTTTCTTTTTTCTCCATTCCTTGTGCTCCAAACGAAGGAGACTGCCAAGACTGGAAGAGGGTTTACTTCAGTTTGTGCAAAGGAGGTGGTGTGATCTCTCTTTTGTGACCAGCATTTAAAGATCACTCAAGGCTGGCGTGATCTATAAAATAAAATTTAAAAAAGTTTGTTCTGAGTTCAAGTATGTCTGTTGCTTTTTTTCTTTGTCCTGCTGGAAGACCAGCTGGTGCTGCTTTAACACAGAAAGTGGGTTTTCCTGGCACCAATGCTCCTTTGCTGGCTACGAGAGGTGGTCACATTTGTAGTGCCTCCACCCAGCCCTGACAGCTTTTCCTCTGCAGAAGATTTAGTGCTTCTCAGTGGCCAAGTGGTGAAAGGAGAGAACTCTTGCACGGTGTGAGCTGTGCTGTGGGAGATGTGTTGTGTGTGTGTAAGAGCTGCTGTACCAAATCATTTGGGTCTAACTCCATGGGAGACCCTTTGCTAGAGGATGAGGTTTCAGCACAGCACTTCCATTGTCTGCGTAAGCTTGTGCTCCCCTGGGCTCCTCACAGCAATTTGCACCTCACCTGTTTCTTCTAAATACAGCGGGACTCTCCAGGGCTTGGGATGGGCCTTTTCCAGCCTCCTCGGTTGGTCTCAGAGGTTCATGAAGGCTTTTCCTGCTTTTCCAGGTAGGTGTTGTGCTGGGAGCTGGTGGTAGACATAGCGAAGACCCACCAGCCCCTCCACTATGGACACCTGCAGGGGGTGTGTTCACGGCTGTGCTTGAGGGAGGAGGGGGTCCTGAGCACCCCATACCCCATCCCTTCTCACCTATTGTCCATATCAATTTTTCTGTCTGTGTCCTTCCCCCAGCTGGGACACGGATGTGGCCAGTATCCCTCTTCCCAGGGAAAACTAGCGAGGGAAAATCCAGGGCCAGCAGAGAACAAGCCTTTCCCTAGGGTGGCCTTCAACACGAGCCTGCCTCCAGCCCACCCTGATGAAGCTGACACAAGTATGAGCCTTCCCAAGCTCAAGCCAGTTCACTTTTTCTTTTTGCAGGCTTTTTTTCTTTTTATGCTCTAGGATAACTTCCTCAGACTGAGGACAATTATTTCCTTTCTACTTGCTCCTAGCTGCCCACTCAGTTAATTTACAGCCCCTGTTAAGGAAAAAAGCAACATACAGCTCCCCTTAACTATGATTAGTGTCAGGTTGAGCCTCGTTTACCATTCCACCTGGCAGGGGACAGAGTGATGCCCAGGGACACGTTCGAGGTCGCTGCAGGATGGCCTGAGCACACAGCCATGCTCTATCATAGACACAGACTGCTAGAAGTCATCAAAGACAGGGTATTTTGATTTTAGGTGTTCCAAGCTATTTAACTTTTTAAGAGTAGGTCCTGTTTTCATCATCGCTCCAAGCAGCTTATAGTATCCCTGAGCCTGTTCCACACCAAGGTGAAAACTGCTGACCTGAGAGAGGCTGGAAAATAAAGATTTTCCATAAGACTACATAGACACAGCTAGTGTTGTAGCTCCTCTTCTACCCATTAGCTCTGCATCATGCCTACCAACAGATTCACCTGTAAAACACACAAAAAAGCTTGAGAGCAGTCCCGATATAATTTATTTGTCTTGGTCTTTTTTTTTTTCCTTGCATAGGCATAAATTACAATCTGTTGATTAAAAAATAAAACCAACAAAACAGTGCAGCATTTGCAACGGGCTACAGCATCAAATACAACCTCATCTCCTGCCTGTAGCCATCTGTTTCTGCAGGGCTAATTCGTAACACGTGTGTAGGGCAAACAGAGGAGGAGGAGGGAGAATAGAGGAGGGGAAAAAGGAGTAAATAAGGGAAAAAAAACTGCTCCCACAGCTGTTTCGCATTTCTCCTGCCTCACCAAGCTCATCTCCTGCATCAGCAGTAGGATTAAATACCCCCCACCCCAGGCAGAGATGTGCTGTGCTGAAGCAGCAGTTTTTATGTGCCCTCTTTTCCTCTGCAGCTCCGGCAGTGCTGCGGGAGGCAGCTGCCGAGCACTCGGTACCTGGCCCCGCTGCAGAATTTGGGGACTCCTTAAAAAAACACAGGTAACCTCAGCATGCCTTCCTGGACAGCCCCAGGATGGCTTCCAAAAGCAGTGCTCTCCTCTAGATAAGAGCATAAAGCCCCGGAGTGACCTCTGGCTGGTGCCTCCAGAGTGGTTTTACCCCAGAACAGCAGAGACTCTCATCTCCAAAGGACAGGGCGAGCTCGCCCTGTAAAGCCAAGTGGGTAACACCCCCTTGGAGCAGGGACCCCACTCCAACTCCATTCTTAGGAAAAGAGGTCCTCCTTTCCCACCTCTCACCAGCATGCCTGATTTACCATGAAACCGTTTTTTGTTTTTTTTCTTGGGCAAAGACCCTGCCTGCCCAACCCAGAGGCCAGGGAGCCAGAAGGGAGGTAAGAAAAGGGGTTTTCCAGCCTTGTGGGTATTACGGCATTTGCTCCAGCAGCCAGAGAACCCCTGGGGAAGAGGGAGAGCTGCGTCTCTGCTCTCTCTTTATCATTCAATTAAATACAGGAGCTGCTCTGCTGAGCCTGGGACAGGTCTAGGCATTCATAAAAGCACAGCTCGGTGCAGGCAGGGCACTCATGGCCATGACTCCAAGGCAAGCAGGCAGCTGCAGACAAGCTTAAAATAACTTTGGCTGTGGCTGCCAAGAATTAGGACTACGCTCAATATAGGAGAGAATTTATCGTCACGGGATCTGGCTGCGGCTCTGCTTTCTCCCGGCAGCAGGGCCTCCCAGCTCTGCAGGGGGCTCCACGGGGTAATTTTAATTTGTTGGAGATGGGGCTGAGCCCTTTGGGCTCGCTTCCCCTGCTTGGAGCAAGAAGACCCCTCCAGGAGGGGTCTTCACCATCACCCCTCAGCTCCTGGGGCTGGCACAGAGGGGTGCAGAGCTGAGCACTTTTGCCTGATGCAAAAGGGAGGAACCTCTTCAGCCCCTTCCCCTCCTCTACAACCCTCACCCTACAGCACTTTAAGCAGAGAAGACTAGAGCAGGACTCAAGTCACGGTGCCCCCCCAGTGCTGTGGGGCAAGACGATGCCAGCATCGGACAGGGTGGAAACGCTAAACACGAGCCCTTCAGCTTTTCTTTCAACGAAACACAAGACAAATGTGGAGGTTGTAAACACCATCCAAGAACATAAGCCAAACTAAATGTGCTGCAGGCAGCCGGGCAGTGGAGCGACCAGATGGCCCTGGCTCTCCTCAGCCCAGGGAAGGTCCCCGGTGCATCCTTCCTGCAGTGCCCTGACATGGCTCCCCCCATCACCTACAGGATGTATGTACATACATGCCCGGTGCAGGCAGGACTCCCCATCCCTCTAGTGGGAGGTGTCCCTGCCCATGGCAGGGGGGTTGGAACTAGATGATCTTTGAGGTCCCTTCCAACCCGAACCATTCTATGATTCCTGCTCCAGCACGGTCCTCTGCAGCCAGGGCTGGGGGAGCTGGGCGATGCCAGCAGGGAGAAGGCAGGAGGGAAAGGGACTCCTTCCAAGAGAAAGGAGGTCAGCCCACCCCAGCCATCTGCCACCAGGGACCGGGAGGGGACAGGAGGCAGCCCTGAGCGCCACAGGTTGGGGGAGGCCCTGCTGCCCCCCGAGGTGATGCTGCACGGCTGGCACCTGCAAGCCCTGGGGCAGGAGATCTCCCCTCCACCCTGTCTCCCATCCAACAGACCACCAGGGCACGGGGAGAGTCTTGCAGAGCATCGGGGCAGCAGCTCCCTGCAGCCAGTCGCCTACACACAGCCACAGCCACGGGGGAGCAGCCCTGGCCACACATTGCAGTCTCGGAGGACATCTCCGGAGCAAGGAGGGCAGGAGTGCCTCCAGCACCCCGCCAAGCAGCAGTCCACAGAGGACCTTGTCTCCAAGGTCCAGCTACCAAGCCACCAGCAACTCAAAGCCCGTATTTTCAACGACTCTGCTCATCTTATTCTAGCTTATTCTACTGGGTGCGCTATTCTCCTACTAAACAAAGCTCTAGGCCTCTCTGCGTCTAAGCCACCTGCCCAAGTGGCACCATTAACATTCTCTGGTTAAGTAGAAATCACATGGAAAAAAAAGTCTTTTTTCTTTTGTTACTACAAAAAAAAAAAAAAAAAAAAAAAAAAAAAAAAAAAAGAAAAAAAAAAAAAAACCCCAAAACCCCCCAACGAAAAAACACCCC